TCTTTAATCTATTGGATTGGCTTAAAATTTTCACAAACAAAAAAGTAGTTAAAATCTCTAAGCAAGCAATTTGGTTCTTTCGGCTAGTATAGTTTCGTGTTTGTGCTGTTGCCTATGGTTTGCTGAACAAGCCTCGTACTCGGCTGTCGAAGATAGCCTATGTTACTTGGCATATTAACTCCTAGGATTATGTATAAGTTACGGTCTACCGAATAAAATAGTTTATGATTATGTAATTAAAATTTTTACGATCGTTTAAATTGATCACCTTCATTTGCTTTCTAGTTTTTTTAAAAAAAATCTACGAGTTTTCATGATGTTTATTGCTGCTTATTCGGTGATGGTTGCTTCATAGCACAACGTCTTGAATGAGTATCGATTGTCTTTGTTTCTATGTTTTTTTTTTTATCATGTATTGCCATGAGACCAAATTTAAGGTTTACCAAATTTATTCCTTAAAATTAATTTGTAAATTTCTTAAATGTTCATTCTTAACGATATTTACATTTTAACCCAAAAAAAAAATAGGCATATCAAGGGATTTAGCATATCACACAATGGGCTTACGATTTGAGCGTTTTTTTAATAATTTTAAAGCCTGTCAAAAGAATCTTACTGGGTCCAAAAATGAAGCCCATTTGTGTGTAAGTAAGTAAAACCAGAAACCCTAAGGAACGCCTATAAAAGGGCAATCTAGGTTTCTGCGGCTGTTTTACAGAGTGAGTCGTCGTCGCCTTTGAGAGATCTTTAGGAGGAAGCAGCAAAAATGGCGGTTCCTTTGCTTACCAAGAAGGTCGTGAAGAAGAGGTCTGCCAAATTCATCAGACCCCAGAGCGATCGCAGAATCACCGTCAAGGTAATCCACTCTTGTTTCACTCAATTTTCTCACAAAATCTCGTACTTGATCTTCTAGGGTTTTAGTAGATCAGTCTCTGAGACTTTCTCGAAGTTTTTTAGCTTAGAAACGGAGGATATATGGTGATTTTACAGGATAGTGATGATTTTAGTTAACCTAATTGCTCTCATCAAGACCATTCAATGAAATCCCAGAATAGTTTGAGCTTGATTCTAGTTTTGGTTTTGGATTCTGTCTCTCTTAAGTCTTATTTGTGAAGATTTTCCATGGAAATGATACTTTTTGGTTGATTCTGTCTCTTCACTTTCATCAACACCATTCATTGAATTCCAGATTTGTTGTAGTTTGATTCCAGTTGGAGCTATTGATTCAAGCTTTTGAAGTTTTCCATGAGAACGATCATTTATACATTTCACTGAATACCAAATTCATAGAGTTTCTCTTAATATTGATTAACTTTTACAATCCGTAACAACTGTTGTTTTTATGGAAGAATCTGAATTTTCTTTGGATGTTTGTTTGTGTTGCTTTTGGTTCCAAGATGTGTTTGCATTTACACATTGTGAGTCTTTGCATATGCAGGAGAGCTGGAGGAGGCCAAAGGGTATTGACTCAAGGGTCAGAAGAAAGTTCAAAGGTGTTACTTTGATGCCCAATGTTGGTTACGGATCTGACAAGAAGACTCGTCACTATCTTCCCAATGGGTTCAAGAAGTTCGTCGTTCACAACACAAGTGATCTCGAGTTGTTGATGATGCACAACAGGACTTACTGCGCAGAGATTGCTCACAACGTCTCTACCAGGAAGAGAAAGGCCATTGTCGAAAGAGCTTCTCAGCTAGACATTGTTGTTTCCAACAGGCTTGCTAGGCTCCGTAGCC